ACAGCTAATGAATATCATAGTCTTATGAAGGTTATGATATTTGTTTTGGATAACCTAATCGATAATGAAATGTTAAACAAAAAATTATTAAAAGTTTATAAAGACTGGAATAATATATATAGGATAAATATAATCATCGCAGGGTGCTATACAAATATTTATCGCACTTAACAAAATAAACCAATACATATAATTTAATTAAAAATAAATTAGTAACAACTATTTAATAGACCAAAATTTTATAAATAAACTATTAATAGAGTTGTTAATACATAGGTCAGATTAACTCTAGCATTTTATAGCTATCCAAAGCAGAGTTAGAAATGAAGCTTAATGAAGCCCAACAGAGCTGCGAATAGAGCTCTGAATAGAGCCAATAAATACTAGTTTTTTGAGCTCTATTCGCATAACCATTGAGCTCCATTGGCTTCATTGACAACCCTAACCTGGGAATACATGTGTCTAAACTATAACTATCTAAGTTTCTTCCAATCTAAAATTCAAAATGTAGTAAAATACCCTAATCCTGATCCAAAATCCCAAACATAAATATAGTAGAATCTGTCACAAAGATCCTGATGTTTTTAGTATAGCCTGGGTTGTTCTAAGTTGCCTGAATATAAAAACATTTTGAACTAGCTATGTGACACCAGGTGCTCTAGAGTACACTATCACATTAAATCAAATACTTGCTGTCTATTGATAATTAGAAAATAGACTAGAAAATCTACTATTTGAAAGTAGGTGTCAAATTGTGGTTTACCTGGCCTATTCTCCAGCTTTGTTATACTTGATGCCAGCCTTCTAATAAATTTTATGTATTTTGCGGCTTCATATAAAATCAATGAATAGCATAATTACATAGTATACTTCGTGGCCAAAAAGCTAATATGTATCAGCAAAGCCCAAAATAATCTAATTCTATATACACTAATTCTAATCCCAATTCTAATGCTAATCATAATCGTGCTTTATCGATAATGCTATGTCGATATTGCTGCGTTACTAATGCTATAATGATAATACTACGTTGATAGAAATTGCTCTGATAAAATATATAGGATGCTATATAATTATTTATCGCACTCAAATTTTATTGGCCAATTAGGCAGATCTTCAACATTGTATACAACGTGCGATATGACTATCTCTCGCATGCTTCAAAACAAATAAAAATACTAAATCATAACATCTTTCTTTTAAACTCAATGAATCTAATAAACATGTCTGCCACTTCAGAACCAGAACTGATCGAATTAATGAATTCTATAATGGTTTTTGATAATTGCGAACACATTGAAGATAGTTACATAAATTTGAAAAGTGTTGAAATTGATGATTCCTCAGATAACGAAAGTGAAAGTACAAGTAATATGAATATGGTCGACAATAATGTGATCAATAAACTACATATACCAGAAACACCTGATACAAATAGTAAGAGGCATCTACCAGTACTCTAATTCTTTTTAATACCATTTAGTGCTAATAAAAATGCTTTTGTTAGTTATTATAATTTCAGAAGAAATACCAAAAGACATAACCTTTGATTCGTGGAACGAAGTTGAAGCATTCTTTTTGGATTATGGTGCACGAAATGGTTTCGCAGTCAACAAATATAGGAACAAAAAATCTAAAACAGGAATAATACAAAATAGAACTTTTTGCTGTGAATTTTATGGAACATACAAGCCTAAAAAAAGTTTGGCAGCAGCCCAAAATGGAACACAATGTAATACAAGAACAAAGAAGCAAAACTGCCCTTGGCATTGTAATCTCTTGTTGTGTCAAACTGGATTTCAAATCCAAATTACAACCCTGAATAATAGACATAACCATGTTCTTGTACCAGAAACCCTAAAATTTGGACTTAAGTACAGATCTTTAAACGAAGAAGCTTTGAAAGAAATTGAAATAATGTCCAAACACAGAAACTTATCAATTACATCACAAAAAAAGCTTCTTAAAGTTCATTTTCTGGATTTGAATATTCAAGATAATGATCTTGCTAATGCTATTAGTAAAATCAAAAGAACAAATAACCTTAATAAGGAAAATGACACATCAACTCTACTTACTTTACTAATAGAAAAAAAAATAAATGATCCGCGATGGGCCATTGATTTTGAGTTAGATGAAGAAACCCATTTGATTAGACTCTTCTGGATGTCACCAGAACAAATTAACCTTTGGTTGAAGTATTACAATGTGGTTATTAATGATAACACGGCACAAACAAATCAATACCGAATGCCCCTATCTCTTTTTATTATCATTGATAACAATAATAAAACAAGACTTGTAGGCCAAGCCCTAGTTAGTAATGAAACATTAGATACATATACGTGGATTTTAAAATGCGTTAATAAAGCTACACACAAGCCACCTATCGTGATATTTACAGATGTGGACCCTGCCTTAAATGCTGCCATTTCGCTACTTTTCCAACTACACATGCAGCACACTGCATATATCATATCGGACAAAATCTTCCCAAAAATTTAAAGTCAAAGCTAGGAAATAAATGGGAGGAATTTATAAAAAAGTTTTATGAATGTAGAAATAGCTTATATGTAGCTTTATTTGAAAAACGATGGAAAAACTTACTTAAAGATTATCTGGTAGCCAATGATTATTTACTCCGAGCTCTTTATCCAAACCGTCAATCCTGGGCATGTGCCTTTTATATAAAGTTTTTACTGCTGGAATTCAGAGCACTTCTTGTATAGAAGGATATAATTGGATTATTAAGAGGGAATTAGTAACGAACGGCACATTATGTGAACTCGCTAATCGTTTGGATCAACGGTTGAAAGATGAAACTTAATGGAAACAATTTCACCAATACAAACTATTAACTACATCACCAACAACACCTGCAGCTGGACAATTTCTTTTTCCTGAAGTAGTTAAGGTACTGGATGAATATCTAACCGAGGTAATCAGCAATATGATTTTAATAGAAATAAGCCAGTGTCTTTTTTTATGTGTGAAAAGGTTCGAACCTACGAATGAAGATTTAATTCGGGAGCAAGTAAGATATTAGTAATCTCATGCGTGTGTATTAAACGATAAGTTAACAACAATAAAAATGTGAAATAGGAAACAGTTGAAGAAATCCGGAATGGATTTATAGAAGACCAATACGATGTATGAAATATAACACTCCAAGCTATGTTTGATGAAATCAGAAGTGAGGATATAAAGGAAATTTAGAAAGTTACGGAAATACGCAATGAAAAAAAACATTACGTTTACTTTGTAGCGGTTGTTAATCCAATTTTCTATTTATGTTCATGTTTAATAAGTATTAACAAAGGCATTATTTGTCGTCATTATTTTCGTATAATGATGCATTCAAGTATAGCGGCTTTTCACATATCAATGATACCTATTCGATGGTATAAAGATTCACATCAAGAAAATTTAATACCAGAAGGAGACAATTTAATATCATTCGATTATGAGAAAAGTATTTCTGACTCAGACCTGAGTAATGACACAATTTTTCTAGCACGAAAACCAGTTATGATGCCAGTCACTGCTTCAGTCACAAACAATACCATTGACAAAAGAAATCGTTATAGACATATTTAGGGACTTGCACGAGAAGCTACTTTGCTTGCTGTAGAAAGTGATGACAGTGAAATAATCCAATTCCTAATGAGCTATATCAATAAAAAGAAAAAAAAAGTAAACGATCTGTAAATCAACAAACCATCACAACTAATCAAGAACAAAACGGCATAACTAATCAAGAACAGGATGGCATAACCAATCAATCTTCATCTGAGAGTATAATTGAACGAGATATTGATCAAGACACTGAAATGCTGTCAGAAAATGAAGGATCGGTCTCTCCTGTTTCTGAATCTGCGTTAAACTTCACTGACATTTGAAATCCATCTAAGGTTGTTGGTAAAGAAAGGCCGCAAAAGCGCAGATATATTAGTAGTGTTGAAAAAGAAAAAAAGCATAGGGGGAATTCAACCCGAGGAACATATAAATGTCGTATATGTGGTAAGGCTGGTCATAATTCAGCATTTTACAAGAATAAGGCGGACTGGGTATAATTAGCTTGAATATTTCTTGACACGCTTTCTATAAGTATAGTAGATATATAGAAAAAGTGCATCACTGTAATAAAATTAATGCACTTGATATACATATGTATATCAGATTTTTCACGTGTTTTGTATAGCCAATTAACGAGAAATCTACAAATCGCGTGATTAGTTAGTATTACCAATTAAATAACTCATTATAATACGTGATATAGAGTGGCATCACACCCAAAAGAGATATATAATATTATCACAGGGGGTGTGATGCCTAGTTAACTCCATATATATATTATGAGTCGAAATGAAAAATTTAATGATAATGATTTGAAAATTTTAAGGTAATTATTAAAATTTTTATAGAAATTAGAAAATTTTTTAATATTTTTAAATTCCATTATTATATAATTTTTGAATTATATTAATATATTTCAAAAATATGTGAAATTTGCTAAATTATTTTATTGATATTCTATTTATTAATTATTTTAAAAATTTTTGCACTATTTTGAAATTTATCTAATTATGTTGAAATTATTTACAAATTTTTGAATTAATTTTAAATATTTCACAATATTTTGAATATATTTAAAATACTTATAAAAAATATAATTTATTCTATTTAGATTTTAATAATA